AAGCTCCCAGTCACAGATGCTGTGACTTCCAGAACACAGCCACACAGCCCGGAAGACCCACACCAGCCATCGTATTCTGGCCGTGAAAGCCTTCAACAATACATTACCACAAGATTCTTTGTTGTTAACTGCTGGAAGACTATCCTTAACTTATTGAAATTAAAGGAGATAAGTATGGATATTAAAATATGTAACTGTAAAACTTTCCATAATACATAGTCATCAAATATGTTATTTATTTTGCTACATCTTAAGTCACATCTCAATGATAAAATTCAAGTCCCAGGTCTTCAAATTGATGGTTTTAAATTGGAAAAAGTGACAGTCTTTTCACTATTTCAGCGGCAATCTTCAAATAGGCTTGAGCCTGCAAAATATTTACAAATTCATCATATTAATATCCTAGATTAGAATGGAATACAATATATTTCTTATAAAACAGGAGTACAAATTGCTTGCCAACACCTGACTAATGTTATGGGGTAATTAGGTACATTAATTGTACCCAAAAAGTGACCAATAGCAAAACATTGACAAATAATGCAGGAATTATGATGTAACAATTTAGTCTGGGTCTATGGGATGAAGAGATCTTTTATCAGAGAGTCAGAAATCCTTCCCATGTCCATTATGCAAGGCTCAGGCATCCCCTATAATTCTTTAAAAGTGGCTGAAATTTTGCAGTACTGTCATTAATGAAACATTTCAGCAATATCACCCCCAAATTCTTATACAAGGACACCAGATCATGCAAGAATGTCTGAATCTTACTAAACCTGGAAAATTGATGAAAAGTTGGACATTTTTAATATTAATTTACATTTAATTTGGGGAGTCTACAGGTAACACTAGGGATATTGCAGATGTCCAGGTACAATGTTGCTGACTTCTGCTTATACTATGTACACTTAAATATTGGTAGTGTTATTGGCAAGAAAAGGGTCCCTAAACAGAAATGATGGACAGGCAAAGATAAGTGAGAAAAGGACTTTGATGGTAGACATGGGGTAAAGTACTATGGTGTGAAGGAAAACTGTGTCTAAATAAGGCAGATATGAGTAAGTAACCACAGTGAAGGAAGGTGAAAGAGGTATAGCTCTGAAGAAGATAAGAGTCAAGCAAAAGGAAGCTGAGTGAAAATCTCACACTGAGCCCATAAAAAGAATACATTGATTGCTGTTGAAACTAAAACAAAATCAACCAAGTTGGTATTTGAGACCAAGATACTGGATGCCAGGAATGTCAAGAAGACATCTGGAGTATCAGACTTCTTGAATTAATGATCTAAAAATGTTTGGCTGTTGCTCATCAGCATAAACTGGTTGTATGAGTTAGTCATGTTCCTGGGGAGGGGGGAAACCTAGACCAAAAGCATAACAAGAACCAAAATTCCCACTAACTCAGAGTCTTATTCATATTATACATGTGCTTCACAACTTTTAACATCATGGTTTGGAGGGATTTTATGAGCAAAATGGATGCTTTAATAGGTGCTTGTGGATGCTAAGACACCCATTTTGCCCTTAAAAACTCTGGGATACTTAAGAAGTGTATGTGGTAAAACAAGAGAATAAGTCAAGAATGAATGGACACTGATGAATGTGGATTGAATATGAAAGAGTGTCCAGTGTGAAAGAAGTATGTTGGTGTGGTTTGGCTGAGTAGAGAGAATGAATGAGGATTGAATTGCAGAATTTATTAAGAAAGAGTGAATGGGTTGAGAGGAAGGGAAAGACTGAGAAAGTTGTGTTTGGATGGAGTTGATAAAAATAGAAGTGAGAAGTTGAAAGAACAAAAGGTGATGCATGAAGGTAAATGGACTATGGTGTAAGCAAGCATGATTTGTAAGGGTAGAATACTGTGGGAAGTAGGATATTGAACAGTGTTGGTATAATCAAGTTCGATCTAGCTGTCTGTCTGTCTGTCTGTCTGTCTGTCTGTCTGTCTATCTATCTATCTGAATTCTTACCCACCATAATTCTAAGATTCTTGGTGGTTTACAATAATAAAGATATAAAAATACAATTACATAATCATAAAACCATAGTTACGATCATTCGAGGTGTTAGGCATCACTGAAGGCCCTTTGGAGCAATGCTGTTTTGAATCATTTCTAGAAAGGCCAAAACCATGGAGGCCAACCTCACTTCAAACAGGAAGCAAAGTGTAGGCATGCCATAAAAAAACAGCCCTGTGGTATGTATTTTGCAGAAATGTGGGATTACTAATAATTTCTCTCAGGATAAATAAGTAGGATGGATTGATTTCGGCTGGAGGAGGCTATCCTAGTTTTAGCCATGTTTCCTTTTCTTTTTCTTATCTCAGACCTTTAATTTCTTTGGCTTAATATTTCTTACTCATTTTCTGCACTTGCAATACACTGCTTACCCCAAAAAGTAATAGCATGATGGATATGCATGCATGCATGCATTTTAATGGACCATTTGTCTGACAATAAAACTGCATTCAACTATCATGAATGCCATCATTACTAAAAAACATAAGAGGAAGTGCAACAAGAGAATGTTAGTATGAAAAATTGAAAGCAGAAATATACAGCTCACATTTATCATTCAGAACTGTCTTCATATTAATATAGTATATGCTCACTACAGGTATTTTTCCCTTCCCTTTTGCTTTGGAGTTTCTAAGGGAATTACTACAGATCACATTTCTGCAAAGCAAGGATCCATTTCCCCTACCAAATAAAAAAGTTGACAGTTTAACACTAATCATTTCCTGATTAATTTGCTGACCAAACACTTAAATATAGCACAAACAGAAGGCAGAAATATTTTCATGAATCAATAGATGACCAAAGATCTACTGATCATAGAGGTTTAGTGTTTTATAGCTTTACAGATCTTTAGGGTCAAAATCCTACCACAAATTCTAATCTTTAGCTACTTCCTATGATGCAATTTCCATTCTAAAGAAATTGGAAAACACAGTGCAACTTGTCTACTTGTGAGCCAAATATATATCAACTAGCATCATGGCATAAATTAAGATGTAAATTCAAGATGAATTTTACACTGAATTCTCTGAATTAAAAAAGAACAATTATAGAATTTCTTGGTATGTTAGAACCAGAATAGAAGTGACATGGAACCATTTCTATAAATATGCAGACAAACCTACACATTCTAGACTCACACTCAAAGAGAGAATGTGGAAATCTGCGGTCAGAAAACACAACTCTGAAGAGAGTCCCACTAAACTCAAAAATCAGGAGAAGTTTGGTAGCACCTTTTCACACACAGATTTTATTAAAAGACATAAACTTTTATAAACTACAGCTCACTTCATCAGATGTATAGAGTAAATTCAGTGACTCTTACTCCTAGGGACTTATTTATAGACTACTGCCACGCTGCAGATGGATTTGTTTAGGTCAATTTACATCATTTATCATGGGATGGAAACTGGGCAAAAGATCCTTGGGGTAATGAGTTGGTTTTTTGTTCTGTTTGTAAACAGGAGACAGGTCAATGGAAGCCTTTATGTTGAACTGCAAGCACAATTAATACCCATGCATGCTTACTCTACAATAAGTCTTACTGAGTTCAGTGACTCTTACTCTCAGGCAAGTATACTTATGATGTGCAGTGTTGTTCATTCAATGGGCCAGCCTCATTCTCCTTCATCAATAATAGATGAGTGTCTGTAATGGAGAGATTCTCCATGGAATGAGTCTCCACCGTCAACTTTCACCCTCTATATCTGGAGAACCACAAGAGGAGGACTAGTGTGTTCATACTGAAGCAAGGCCAGCAAATTCTCCCCTTTTCCTGATTCTGGTTCAGGCTCTTTCATTATTTGCACTTTTGGCCTATTTACTCCCTTCCTGTAGGGCCTTCCTCTATGACTCTTCTCAGTGAATGGACCTCTCCATGTTCTCAGGCAATTATATGGGGAGGGAGGAGCCTCTTTTCCTGTCAGGTAAATACAATATCACTAAGTAGGGTCAGACTTGCTAATAATTATTCAATATTAAATTATTGAAGAATAAACTGAAAAAATAGTCAGTGTTTAATTATTAAATATTATTGAAAACATCACTTTCTGCTGCTTTTCTTCCTATACAAAAATCTTAACTACTGTCTAGTATTCCCTGCTGAAATCATGGCTAAATAGTCATTATTAAAGAAATAGAGACTAATAAGATAAGAAAACTCAGCTCTGTTGAAATCCTTTTAGCACAAAAATAACAATTTCTAACCAAACAACATCTACATTCAAACAGCTTATTACATTAAACTCACCACACTGCTCTGGGGCTGTGAAATGACAATAGGTTTGCCAACATCAGATGTTTCTCTTATGTGAACATGTAGTGGAATGTCACCTATATTAAATATAAGAAAATTGGCACAAAGGTTGAGTGTTACACACATGTTCTTAATTGAAGTAGTACAAGTAGTACACCTGGTGTCATATTTCAGAAGTATTAGAAATGAGCATTAGTCAAGCCTTGCCAAAGTTTTGGATTATTGTTTAGATTATTTTAAAAAGAGACTGTTTCTGAAGATGGCTGAAAAATGATGCTCGGTTTCTCTTGTCTGCTAAAATTATCTAATAACTGGGTGGGGGAGAGACAGATATGACCTATTTAGGATGATAAGAAAGCATGCCAGATCTGCATGCACCACTGAGCACCGATTTCTCTTCAACTCAACAATCTCCATTTTACTTTTCAGCTAAGTTGGCTCTGAAGGAATCTGTACTGTAATACATGTATTTGGTGGCCTGCTATGTAAAAATCAAGCCCAAAACTCTACTGAGCAGATGCTATATCTTGTAATGCACACAAAAATAAATTCACAGTAAAATGTTCCAGTGTACAACTTATTCATGCAATACATTATTCTTCAGCACTGCATTTTATTCCCTACTGATTTCCAGTAGTATAACATTCTAATCAATATTCAAACGGATGCTTAAATATTTAATCACCAAAATGAAAGTGTTATTGTTATTAGACAACTACTGATTTAAGTGCTAGTTAGATATTTAATTAATTTTCCCTCCCGACTGTTAACTGTATATTGAATTTTTCTACTCAGTAGGCAATTGCCACAGAAATAAAGAAAAACTGCATAATAATACTCAGAATCATCTCATTAAAAAAATTCTTTGCAGAAAATTAACTTTTTAGATTTAAATAATTCCATTATGCAAAAACTGATTGTAAAATCAAATCTACACCTAAACAGAACCACAAAAAAGAGGTGTCCTTTCCAACACAGCTGAACAAATGACTTTAAAGGTAAAAGTTGGCATACAAGATTTCTTCTAAGGAGTGGGCAAGGCAATTAGGACCTAAAATGCTGCATTTGTGATGGCATTGCCAGCAACTTTCTGGTGCTGTTACTGCAAATATGTAGTAAAGCAGACTAAGTCAATCTTAGGTTAAAATAAAACATCTGTGTCAGTTTCTTACATGAATGCAGTATTTACTGAAATTCTGACAAAAACTGGTAACAAGTATAAACAGTTTTTAAAATACTCTTTCTGGGGCTATGCAGGTCAAGATGGTTGGATGTTGGAAGTGCTTACCATTTTTTGTCTTTTAGTCTTTTGCATGCTATAGGTCTATGCCATAAATCTTACAGTAGGACCATCTGGTTGTGCACTTAGCACAGGTCACTCCTCACTATTATTTGCTTTCAGATATAAATGGATGCATGCTTGTCAAGTGTAATAAGGAATTTTCTCTAACATGGGAGATTTTGCCACCAGATGTTTTGTGTTGGCAGTTGAACACAAACTGGCTTTCAATTCTCGGTATCCATCCAGCAGACAGCTTAACTCACCAAATGTATAGATTATGGACAGTTCTGTCTACCAGATCTGTCAGTCCTGAATATTTCTATGAAGGCATTTTATGTTTTTGTTTGAGTGGCTTCTAAGTTCCAATCTGAATAAACCAATGTAATTACAGGTAGTCCTTGGTTAATAACCATTCATTCAGCGACTGTTCAAAGTTACAACAGCACTGAATGAGCGGTACTTACAACTGGTCCTCAAAGTTCTGCCCATCCCACATCATCATGATCTGGGCACTGGGCAACTGGCTCACACTTATGATGGTTGCAGTGTCCCACGGTCACATGATCGTTATTTGTGGCCTTCCGTGCCACCTTCCCACAAGCAAAGTAAATGGGAAAGACAACAGGGAAGGTCACAAGATGCTCCTGTAATTCACTTGCACTCCCATGGCTTTTTCTCCTGAGGAGCCCAGTTATGGAGTATAAGATCCTGGGAACCTCATACTCTGTAGTGTATGCGCGCCTATAGCAACCCCCCTCGCAGCAGCCTCCTGCGCACCCTCCCCCACCCAGCAGCAGCCACCCCTGGATCACTGTGCTGGACCACAGCAGCCATTTACCTACCTGCCAGTCTGCTTGCAAGCCACCTGGGACTTACGACTTCCGGCTGGCTTCCCCACTGACTTTGCTTGTTGGAAGCTGGGAAGAAGTTGCAAGGAGATCCTTGCTTAACAACCCATGATCCTTGCTTAACGACAGCAATGGGGACTGCCAGGATTGCTGTTGCTAAGGGATACGGTCACATGACATCGCACATCACTTAGCAACAGAAATTCCAGTACCAATTACCACTGTTAAGTAAGGACTACCAAACTGGGTCTCATATATATTTGGTGCAGTGGCTAAGGCATCAGGCTAGAAACCAGGAGACCCTGAGTTCTAGTCCCACCTTAGGCAGCTGGGTGACCTTGGGCCAGTCACTCTCTCTCAACCCTAGGAAGGTGGCAAGGGCAAACCACTTCCAAAAAACCTTGCTAAAAAAACTGCAGGGACACGTCCAGGCAGTTGCCAGGAGTCAACAATGATTCGAAGGCATTTTCAGGTGCAAGTATCTTATTTACCAGTTTAGTTATCTTATGCATTGCTGGTATATTGCACATATATCTTTAAAAGTTGCAACATGATTCATGACATAAAGCCAATGAAACACAATATAGTATACTTAGGAGGTAGTGGTTGTATATATTAGGACAAGTACATTCCCATCTACTGTTCACTTTTGTTATTTCCAAAATGGATCCAATTTCTTTAGAATAAAAAAAGTTCTACAAATGTAATACTTGGAAATCCAGTAAAACTTCAGTAAAATTTGCACTTGGAAACAAGTGTACTACTTGCAAAATGTGAATTAATTGGATGGGGTATTTCATATATCACAGTAGCAGCAATGAACACAATGCAGCAGCACAATCCAGGTTTCTACCTGAGAGAATCATATTTAGTTCCATTAAAATCAACACATATCAACAAAAAACTATATTGCATTCTATTTTGTCTAACACAGGAATTATTTTAAACCACATATTCTTACCTAAAATATCTATACCGATATTCTTGGCTAATTTCTTCACACCATCAGCTCCAAAAATATGGGTTTCATGTTTGCATTTTGGACACTGAAAAACACTCATGTTCTGTATAAGGCCTAATACCTGGCAAATTGTTTAGAACAAAAACAAAGCAGAAACAGATTTAATACTATAGAAACAATAAGTTAAAAGGTCAGTTTCATCTATTTACCCAATTTGATAGAAATAAACCCAGAAATATTTCCTAATCAGAAAAAAAAAAACCCACTGCATTTATATACCAGCATGCCCTGTTCAACAATCCTAGACAAATGCCAGTTTCCCTGGGAGATTAAGAGTTCTGGTAACTCCCTGTTTATAAATTAAAATCCATTTGAGCAGGAAGGAAGAAAATCAGTAATTGTCAGGCTGGAACACTGCAAAACAAATGATAGCAACCCAGAGCTCTCATTCAAATGAGCTCTCATTCAAATGTCTCATATGGGCTCACCTTCAGTAACTGTTAATCAGATGGACATTTATTTAGAAGTAAGCCCCAGTCTGCTCAATGGGATTTATTCCCAAATTTGTATCTTTAAGACTGTTACATATAGGAGTTGCCAAAATCTATTGCTTTGATTGCTCATTGAATTAGCGTTGATTCTGCAGCAGCCAATAATCACTAAAAGTAATAGGAAAATAAAAAAAATAAAATAAAACACAACCAACATTATTTTTGCTCTTAAAAATGTGTGTTCACTGATACTCTGAAGGAGAAGGTGGCTGAGCCTTGATTTTCTATTCTCTCTACAAATCAAAGGCACATTTGAAAAGCAATTAACTTAATTATTTAAGTCATAAAAATGACACATTATTGACAGTGCTTATATTAGATGTAGCATTTCAAATGGTAAATGGATTAACATAGAGAATCTGTTAAATGCAATCTAACTAACTTCCCTGATAATGGTGACTAAAATGTCCATCCTTTTGGGAGTTTTGGGAGGAAAAGTCAAAACAGCACTCAACCTTTATATTAAATCTATTTACCTAAAATATTAAATTCTCCTGGTTTAATAGTTTTCTGAGTTTAGATTATAGTAGAGTGCCTGCAACGCACACAAGTTTATTTGCACTATTAGACTCAAATACAATGACCTCTTACTCAAGTACAGTGAACAACGGACAAATAAACTCCACCAAGCCTGACATGTATGTACAATGATGAAAACAAGGACAATTATTATGTACACTATTTTGGGAAAGCACAGGTGTGATACTGGGAGTTCATCCCTGCTACACAAAATAAAACTCAGGAAAAGGTTTTGAAGTCAGTCCAAACAAACCCATGGGTAGCTTTTTTCCAATACCGTCTGTTACACACATTTGATCTATAGTATATGTACTCTGAGAATGTGTTAGTACACTACTTAGACAGGTACTCCTCGGGTTACGATGGCTGCTGGGACCAAGATTGCTGTTGCTAAGCGATGTGGTTATAAAGCGCAACATCACATAACTGCATCGCTTAGTGACAATCCCAGCAGTCCTGGCTGCCATTGTAAACCTGAGACGTGGGGGTTGTTAACTAGGAAGCAGCAGGAGTCCCAGGTAAGGCATCCAGGGGTGCCATGGGGGGTGCGGTGGTGGTGGGGGAGTATGCTGTAAGTGAAGGGAAGCCATGGGAAGCAGGGTGCCATGCCAGGTGAGTGAAAGGAGGCTGGAGGGACTTACAAGAGCAACTTGCGACCTTGTGTGCCACCTTCCCCACTGACTTTGCTTGTGGGAAGCCAGTACAGAAGGTCACAAATGGAGATCCTGTGACTGTGGGGCACTGCAACAGTCTAAGTGCGAGCTGGTTGCCAAGCCCCCAAATCGCGATCGTGTGAGCGCGAGGATGGTGTAATGGCTGGAACTTTGAGGACCAGTTGTAAGTACCGCTGATTCAGCACTGTTGCAACTTTGAACGGTTGCTGAATAGGTGGTCGATAAGCGAGGACTACCTGTACTCCCTAGAGTGGGATGCAGGCAACTGTAAGTTGGCTTGCCAAACAATCTTTATATTAGAAATTCCAGCTTGCATAGAAAGCATGCACATGCTCAGAGAAAACTTGTGTTTAGGATGTACTTCTGGCATACTGGCCCAAACTGACCAGAACCAGTAGCAGAAAATGCTATTATAGTTATACATTCAATATCAAGCTTTATAGAGGCTATTCCTTCTTTGGCATCAGTTTGTCCACCAACAGTAAAGAAAGAACACTGGCCTGCCTAAGAGTGTAAGGTTTAGCAGTTAGAGTTGCAAACTCAAATCTTTAATAGGTTAGGATCCCAACATCTGAAGCAACATCTCTCCCAGTATGTGCCTACCTGAATGTTAAGATGTATAAGGGGATCCTCTTCAGCACCCCATAAGTATATGGAAATACTTGGAAAAGCCTTCCCTGTATTAGCACCTCAGCTTTGAAATACCCTTTTCCAGGCGGGGGGGAGGGAGGTCAAACTGGTACCAAACATGATCTCATATTTGTAGCTTAGTGTACACAGGCTAACCATGCCTTTTGTCCCTTAAGAGCCTCTTGGCCAGCATTATCGTGATTATTAAAGTGCCTTTTAAATTAAGTATTATTTATTCTAATTGGTGTTTTTGTTTTACCTTGGTCATTTTACGGATTGCAATCTGGATAGATGACAGACTATAAATACAGACTGATAAATAATAAATACACATGGTTAAGTGCACAACTTGCACAGCACAAAGAGCAGTGGTGAAAATGTGAGATTCTCCCCATTGCAGCAGGTTGGAAGAAGCCCCATTGCTGAAGAACTCAGGTTGACAAGTTGGGAAAATAATGTACATAACCAGAGACTGTACAAAGATTCCAGAAAGTAACTCCAATGTGCATTTTTCCTATTTGTGCAGTAATTTCAGGAAGATGAAGTCCTTTCAGTGTTTAGTTAAAACTAACAATGGGGTTGAAAGCAGTTTGCCAATTTTACCCTTTGGGGATAGAGATTTCAGGAGTGTCTTTTCTCTCTTCTTGTAGAACCAATACAGTACACTTAGTATAAGGCAATAATGACATCAATGTAATGTATTTCTTTCTTTCTTTTATATATACCACATACTGTACGTAAGTACCACTGATGCATTTTAACTTTGGATCCTAATGTTTACACATTTCAGCTAGAAAAGAAAATACAGACAAAAGATATGATTAGTATGCAAAACTTGACTAAACTTGCAGCAGTATACAGCCATCTGCATGAATGGGGGGGGGGCAGTAATTCACACATAAGTAGAGGTGTTTTAAACAGTTGGCATTGCACCTATTCACCTAGCCAAAGAAATAAGTCACTTTCCTGTTTAAAATAAGTTTTCACATTCAGGGCAATTGACAGCAGTGAAAACTGTCAAGCACATCTCTGGCTGCAAGCAATTCTATGTAAGGCTGCACTTGTCATATATACAGCAGAGAAACCCTTCCACGCCCACCTCCATCTGGTTTTCAGATCAGACTCCAGTGACCTAGACACTCTAGAGGGATTTCTCAGTTCCTATCACACACGTATCCACCCCACCCTCCACCTTTCTTGGTTTATTTATTCACTGAGCACTTTAAGAATGCTCAATTTACATTATTCATTATTTACAAAACTTCTGTAATTAGCTTTTCTCACACCTTTCTCATAAATAGTTTTGGTTTACATCACCAGAAGAATAGTTACAGTGAAGATTTCTTTATTATAACTTTCCTGGGCCCATCAGGCTTAAATGTGCAGGTCAAGTTTTAGTTTGAGACCTACATACTACCTTAGGTTGAACAGCATGTTTCCACACTCATGGAAATACAAAGGTCTCAGGCAGAAATTTTGAAAAACAGACTTTAGCTCATAGGACCCTGACACCCAGTACAGTGGTACCTTGGATCACGAACTTAATTTGTTCCGCGACTCTGGTCGCAACCTGAATTGGTCGCGACCCGAATCAAATTTTCCCATAAGATTCAACGTAAATACGGTTAATCCGTTCTGACC